GTTTAACAGAGTTCGGCAAATCTGACTTGGAACACAAAAAAGGTAAGAGAACATTAGGATAATCATATATAAAATGTTCTTGCAAGAGGCCGAATATACAAGTAAAACTAATGTGCATTCCCTGGTCTACCTGTGTGAATTCGGCTACTTTTTACATTAAAAGTTCCCTGTGTGAGAGAGAATCACCCCAGTCTTCCTCAGGTCTCTTAAGTCAGTCAGCAGCCGGATGATTGATAGTCTCTACACGGACAATTGTGTCGAAGCAACAACGAGGGGAGAATATTGTGAAAGGGCAGGAGTGAAGCCACTGAAAGTTCTCATCATGCTCTCTCAAAAGGCACCAGTCTTCTGATGTGAACTTGAGCCCCGGTATAATCCTGATCCCCGATGTGCTCCCTGGTTCACATACTAGAGTTCACTCAGCTCTGTGACACACACACACACACACAGTCACCTACTCTTCAAGGCTTTCATCATTTTCAAAGCTGCTGGTCCTCCTTTCAAGGTTCTGGTCCCTCTGGGTCTAAATGTTCTCTAAACTGACCCGAACTCAGCCATCCAGGCTTCGTATTTTTCCAGGTCAGCAGCAGAGACGGACTTGGAGATCTTCTTGAGTGTGAGTGTGAAGTCCTCCATTGTCACAGGCATCTGCAGCTCGTCTTTGGACAAAGCTCGGATCTCCTCGGGGCTAAGGCCTTGGATTCGACGCCGCATCGCCATCATGGACGCATCTCTGATGTACATGTAAAGACAGGAGCAGAGAGGGGAGCAGGGGTGTTAGTATTTCTACTATTTTGGCTTGCATCCTTGAAAAGTTTTACTCCTGTAAAAACTTCTTGGCTTCTTCTTCTCAGTCTCGGCTGTGATTACTAACCAACTGGCTCAAATCCTTCAGGCTACAGATTGCGTGTGGAAGATACTGACAAACACATCCAAGGTCAATGAAACAATGCAAGCCAGAGATGAGCAGAGAAAACTTGAACAGAAAATAGCTGCCATACCCAGCATAGCTACGACAGAAAGGGCTACAAGGATAAGTACAGGATGGTAAGTGTTCAACTGAAGCACCCATCAACTGCGGTTCAGCATATTAACATATTCCAATCATCAATGCATACTTTAAAATAATCACTGGTGTTATCTGTTTACACGTAGGTGTGTTTCACACAGTAATGACGAAGCTACATCAGTAATAATCACTTCACGATTTTAACTTATTTATTCTAATCAAATAATCATTTTGTGTGTAATTATACTCTGTATGTGTATAATCGAGTTGATCATTTTCTGATTGATTTAATAGCCATGTATGCAATTTTGCAAGTGTAATGATAAAATCAATGTACATATATACAGATTAAGAGCTGATTAGTAATAGACAATAGACCTTTTCATTGGTATTTACATTGTACACTGTTACAAGTGTTTGGGTAATACGATGACATCGCCCATCCAAGCCTCTTTTTGTCTGAATCTGTGGGGACTAAATATAGTAATGCTATGAGTTTAATCAGATGTATGAAGCTGGGCGTATGCCTGGTTCTGTTTTAAGAATCTCAATCATTGTGGAACTGAGCACACGTGCACATGTCCCATTTGCGCTCCTAGTTAGCCATAAATGGATGTAGAAATGCGCTTAAACATCCATCTGTTTGAATATCGACACCTCTGCCTGCTCCACTCATTAGACCTGTCAGGGAGAAGAACAGCAAAGATGAAGTGTGGTTTCACCAACTGTGTTGCGTCACAGGTTTCCCATCAGCACCAGAGCAGCTGTCATTACATATGACCATTACGCACAGCTGTGGCTATTTATAGCACCTGCACCATTAATTCATCACATGTACCTGAAAACCATCATCGGCGGTGATATCTCAATGATCATTATTAAGTGTCAGAAGGATGATCAATGATTCAATTCTATTAAGTTGTTTATCGAGCACACTCGCCAGTTATTGGTTGATGTGGAACGTGTCTGGCAAATCAACATGATTCCCTATGTGAGTGAGACGACGGCTACTCATTCTAAGCAGGATCAGCAAGCACTCACTGCCCTTACATGGGTAAATGTGGACAGTTTCATTTATTATATTATTCTGAATTATTATTATTGATGCATTAATGTGTAAGCTAATCACTAATGTTGCAGCTCGTAAAGGTCAGATTTTTTACACTGCCTGGTTGCCTAATCTATAGTAAGGGTTAGGGTTAGGAGGACAATCTTTAGCTGACGAGTTAGAGAAAAGGCAAACATGCACTTATATGTTTTGCCAGGTTCCTCCTGATCGCAAGAGTAAAGTTCACACGAGTCAAAAGGGCTGAGTCACTTCTCTGTCTCTCTATATCTCTGACCCTTGTCATGGTGCGCTGGAATCATTCTACACAGCCTAAATCTGTCATTATGAGCACTATTTTAATAAATAAATAAGGAGGTGAGTTAGACTATATATATATGTTTGTCATTCTCATCTACTACATTATTTTGGGTGGTGATATAAATATTTTTAGAATTTAAGTAAAAACCTACTCCAGCAATGAATACATGCTAGCATTTAGAGTTGCTTTTCCATGTATCTGATATGCTAATGTTTCTGTGTCCTCCATTTTCTAATTTTGTACACACCTGCAAACGTTGGTGATGTCTGCTCCAGAGTAGCCCTCAATCTTGTCAGCGATGAGGTCCAGGTTCACGTCACCAGCCAGCTCCACCTCCCTCAGGTTGATCTTCAGAAGCTCTACACGACCCACAGCTACACACACACACCATTAATCAGATACAAGGGTTGTTGTGTGCAGGCTCTGTTAGACCACTACAGTGGCCATCGCTTCAGGTTGTTGTGCGATCAGTCTGCGAGTGATGAGGTTACCTGTGGGCAGGGCGATGTAGATCCGCTTCTCCAGCCGTCGGCGCAACGCCTCATCGATGTCCCAGGGGAAGTTGGTGGCAGCGAGGACCATCACCATCTTAGAGGGATCGTCATTGTCCATAGCTCCGCCCACGCCTGGTCACCAAACACACACAAAACCACAATTTAGCTACAAAATGAGTATTACTGTACTCTTACAACATGTGATGGTGGAATCTATTCAGGATAAAGAATTTGTTTTGTTTTATGCTAGGCTTTCTTCAGCCCTACAAAGTCATCCCAAACGTTAGTTTTACATTTCTTTCTTGAGTTAATTCAAGAGAGAAATTCTCAAACAACTCCATTAAAACCCTTTCATTGCTTCACCTCCCCATTTCTCCACTCCACTCACCATCCATCTGAACCAGAAGTTCTGATTTGACCCTGCGGCTGGCTTCATGCTCATCAGACGTTCCTCTTCTGCCACAGATGGAGTCGATCTCGTCTATGAAGATGGTTGTCGGTGCATAAAAGCGGGCCTAAAAGAAAAACTAATAGTTTAAGATACTTTCCCTCTGCCATAAAACAAATTATTTACATCATCGGTTTGATATTGTGTGGTTTTGCTGGGCCGCATACACTTACATAAAACTTACCATTTCGAACAACAGGCGAACAAGTTTTTCTGACTCGCCCCTGTATTTGGAGGTGAGGGTGGAGGAGGACACGTTGAAGAAAGTAGTCCCGCATTCTGTGGCCACAGCTTTGGCCAACATGGTCTTTCCTGTCCCAGGAGGGCCAACCATTAACACACCCTAAAACAAAAAGTTACGCACTGTTAAAATGTAAAACACAAACACATGTACAGCTACAGTAGTTTCACTACCGGCTTCTTACTATAGGCCAGTGGTTCTCATCAACTAGGCCAGTCTGCACAGTGTTGGCTACCGGGCTGCAGAGATGTTATCTGACAAGAACTGATCATCCATCCACTACCTTCCTTCCTTTATTCATTTTGACAACTTATCTTGACTGAATGCATTTGTTAAAGTCTGGCTTCAGTCAAAAATGCGTCTTCTGAATACAGAAAGTTTCTCTGTGCTCACCTTGTGGAAACTTAAAGCCTGCAGCAAACATTCACAGAGAAGGGACACATTTTGTGCACAAGACATAAAACACTATTCTAAGCAGATTATATAATGTTATAAGAAATGTTTAATATTTGACTAACTTCAACTGATTCCAGAGCAATTAAATCAGACTGAATTGTCATTTTGTTTTCTCTTTCTTTACTCATTCACTCACTCATTTATTCATTTTATTTGAATTGCTGATTAAACTTGGAGATGTGGGCAGTTATTCAGAGGTCTGGAACCAAGCCAAACATATGATGATTGTTGGAAAAGCAAACAACTATTTCTCCGAGTCTTTTCACAATGCTAGACAAGAGTGATTTTCTGGTAATCCTCAGCATTAAAACCCCCGTATGTCAGCTTTCCAATACATTAAATATGAATGCAAAATGTGAACAGCAATGAATGTTTATTTTTAGGAATGAATTGCTGCAAACTCTGTACACCATTCAGATCCACTAGAGACAAAGAAGCAAGGAAGCACACCATTTAGATCCACAAGGCTGATAAACAGGAGAAGGCAGCTAAAAGAGAGTGCAGAGAGCACCACATCCGCTCCCTCACTGACAAACTACACATCTGATCAGGCTTACCAGTTAGGTATTATTCTCCTATTTCATTCCATAATACTAATTTCATACATTTCTAACACATACAATGCCTTGCATATAAAATAAGTCAACCGGTCCATCTGGTTTGGTAGATAAAACCTGATGATTTCACATGATTTGATCAGGTACTGTCAAGCTTTATTGCTGATCTCTTGTTCAATTAGTGTCCGACTGATCACGTCCCTCATGCTGGGATCAGTATTAGTCCTTAAAGGGTACCTTTGAATACAAATTGTTGTCCCCATCAGTCACTTAGACACAACAACATGAGGAAATATGATCCAGGTGGAAAAATACAAAAATTGCCTTTTAATACATCGGTGTTCCTGAAAACTAGGAGCAGACACTGAAATATTCTGCCTGAATGTGCTGCAAAGAAAGTAATCATGTTTGTTGTTCAAGCTCTGATTCATGGAGCCTTGACAGAGAGCTGACTCCAATAACCACACTGATTTGCAGCTGTTAAGTCACTGTCTTTAACGTAAATGTCAGAGCTCCACTTAATTAGAGGGATGAAACGAGATCGTGGTGGGCTCAACAACCATTGTAGACAATAATAATGCTGGTGTTGAGCATCATCATCACTGGATGAGTAGAGGATGAAATTTGAAACATGAAATACAAGAGGCTGTTATTATTGGGCTTAGCCATGCATGTAAACGAATTGTCTTCCACTAAACTGTAAGCCCCCCGCAATCAAATAAAGTTTCAATTTACTTTGTCACTATCCCTTTCTCGCCTTGGTGTAATCGGATACACACATTTTGTATAATTGTCAGTAATATTAAACAAAATTGCCGTCCCTGATGCAAATCTCTTCTGTAAACATCAGGACTATTACTGCCCCTCTGATATCTGACGTTTCTGCATCTGGTTTGTGTCTGTCTGTTGCTATGGAGACTGCATAAATCACAGAAGCACCAGTGACACAACAGATAACATTTTATGTCATTGTAGTCCCTACTGCGACAGAATCCATACGAGCTAATGTGTGATATATTCCCTGCAGGATGGGCCGGATAGATTTTCAATATAAAAAAAACACTGATGCAGCCAGGATTGATCAGACTCTCAGCAGGAGCAGGAAGGAGTGGGATGGCTCACCTGCAGTAAGTGTGCAGTAATAAGTCAGAAACCCTGCAGGGGAGGAATGACAAAACAGACCCGCACAGACGTCTATACTAAATGTCACCTGTACTGAAACAAACAACTCCAGCCTACATGTGTGCCGATAAAACAGTCATAAACTTAAAATAGGTTTTATTCTAGAACTAACGTATTAATCCTTCATTTCACTGCACTTTAACTGAGTAAAGAGTTCAATTATGCATGCATATCAGGCAAATGAAAGGCACTGTGCTGCTGAACAAACCGATAACGTACTGACCCTCACATGGCGGGCCTGAGGGGGAGAGGCCTCACATGATGAAGCTCAACAGAGGCCAGCACAGAAGAAAACTCCCTAACTGGTCATTCAGCAGAGTCATGTAGATGCTGAGAGGCAGCATGACAGCGCAGGCGCCATTAACAAAAGATGTTAGGGATGCAAACATATGTAAGCAAGTTGTGTTCAAATTTGAGCAAAAATACAAAACAAAAAACGCAGGCTTTTGTACCAGGTTCAAACGCTGCTTTATGTGCTATTACAGGTTGCACCATACATTTAAGTTACAATACAGAGTGAAGATGGATCTAAAAATGTTTTTAATGATTTAATGTCACAGCAGAACAGTCAAAAACTGGGAGAGATTCATGTGAGAAGAGATTTTTATTTAAATATTTACACCTGAAGCACATTGCCTATGAAAGATTATAGCCATTTACATTTATAATGACACATGGTATTCTGCTGTCCAGTTACTGTCACCGGGATTAGACGAGGGCACGACTGTGATTTTATGCTGCATTAACCGGGAATTACCACTGGAATGATGTTTTGATTATTTATGACCATATTTCTGGGTAATGTTCCCATCCTTAGTAAAGAAACTTCACAGTAGAAAGTGATTGATAAAATGATCGTCGAATTATTAATGAGGTGACAGATAAAACACTTAGCTTAGCGTATTACCTAGTTCACACATGATCGATTCTCCTTTCTATTTCTTTTGGTTTCTGTGATTTCTCAGTCAGTCAAAGAAATATGTAAAGCTCATAGTATGTAAGTGTGCATGTTTATGTGTGTGTGTGTGTGTGTACCTTCCAGGGGCGACGAATGCCCTTAAAAAAGTCAGGCATCCACATGGGCAAAACCACTGCTTCTCTCAGCAGTTTCTTAGCATCTTCCAGATCAGCAATGTCATCCCTGCAGTTCAACCAGAGAACGGAGTCAGCAGTGCTAAGAAAAACATGTAAAAGGAGTATGTAGGAGTCTGTGTATGCGACCATACCAGTGTACGTTAGGGTTACGGGACACAATGTCTCTCTCCAGTGAGTCCACCAGGTCGCTGTCGTGTCCTGTGCCATCAAACTTCTTCTGCTCTACGTCCCCCGGTGTGTCCCCAGCTCCTTTCTTTCCCTGATGGAGAAAAACAAAAAGGTAAATAAAAGCAAAAACAGGTGTTTTTCAGGAACGGGTTTAACATTTAAGATCAGCAAGTCAACCAGCAATCGACCGCTGTAGACTGACCTTATCGTCTTTGGCCTTTGTGCCTCGGGCGTCTCTGAATCCTGGCCGGTCTGGTTTAGGGTTGGCCTGACCGCGGCCTCCTGGCCCTGCCCCTCGATGCTGCAGACCGGGGGAGTCCTTCCTCTGCTGCTTCACGGCACTGTTGGGGCGCTTCACTGCAATAGGATTCCTACACACACACACACAGAGGAATAAAACTACAGACATGGGTAATAGTCGGACACACCTGCAGTCAGAAACATCAAAGATAATATCCAATGGGGAAATCGTGGCACTAACATTACATAGTGTGTCAATGTTTCCACAGAGTGGCATTAACTTTAAACCAGCTCTGCTTGTTCTCTGTGGAGTTTGATATGTCCCCTTTAATGACCAGAGAGTAAAAAAAGAATCCAGTACGGTGAGTCACATTGTGCTCGTGAGATGAAACGGATTATGCAAAATATGTCTCTTTGTACTTCAAAGTGCTTCCTTATAGAGGCATTTGGCCCCTGTGCAGGTGAAATAGAGAAACCACAATGGGAAAATAAAACACCCACACACTGCAGGCTTGTTCCCAGTTATTTCATTCAACTTAGAATGACAAAAGAACTGACAACTAAATAGCGCTATGTACATATTTATTCAGCAATCAGTGAGTATTATCATATAGAAACCATCCTCAATCCAAGGGCTACACACGTATGTGATAATTAAATGTTGAGGTCCTAATCTTCTATATAGCCAACGTTTATTCATATAAATGTCACACCAAATATAGGATCAGTGTGTTTTTACACTAATACCTCAACCAAATGTTGTTTTTGCTAACACACATTAAAAACTTGAGCTACACGTTTCAACTGATAGCAGGAAAAGCAGAAACAAGCTCCATGAAGTTTTATCTTGTAGTGGTGGACTCACACACCTGTGTTCTGCAGGGGTGGGAGGGGGCCAAACTGCTGGATCCTCAGGTCTCTCCTCGCACTGAGGGGCAAGGATGTCAACTGGCTTCTCCGACTTAAAGCTCTCGAGCGTTCCCATGATGCCTTTCACTTGCTCATACTCCTCTGTTAGTTCCTGCCTAACCTGGTCACATACATAAGGAGAGTACTGTATCAGCATTGCATCACAGAACATCAGGAGTTGTTGCGTGTCGATGTGTGTGGTAAAGCAACACAGGGTTTACAGTAAAGCTTTATTGTTCCTGAAGGGCTTTGTGGCTTACAGACAGCAGTCAATGGATAATATATACAACAAAAGTCCAGCATGAATAAAACAACAATAAATACAAACATATACCAAAACCACAGAGAAAAGAAGAAGCCCAACAGAGGACCACCCCGTCCTGGTCCAGATAGACCAAATTATATTTTACTCAAAAATCCACAGCTGATGGAATAAAATACCTTATTAGTACGTGTTAGTGCCACAAAAAGATTGTCAATGGTGCGAACTATATGAGCCTGATGGAGGCAAATTAAAGCCAGTAAATGGTACAGGGAGTAAACTGACTGTCTGCTTTGGGAAAGATAATTCAGACTTACACCAGTGACATTACGGCATGCTTTCACAATGTTTGTTGACAGAGATTACCAAACCAACAGATCACAGCAGCTCATAATGGAAGTGTAGAACAAGGGCGACACTGAAACCCACACGCTTTTTAAAGGAAGACTATCATTGTTGTTTCTTTCTTTTTAACAACAACACCAGTGTTGCCATCAAAGGACCCAGTGTGGTTCTCAAATATGTGCAGTAGTGAAGCCCAGTCACTGCGCATGCTCTTCTGTAATGACGGTGTAGTAAGGTGAGGTAAGGTAAGGTGAGGTAAGGGGCTCGGGGTACTCACCTGTTGCCATTTGACTTTGAGCGCAGGGTCTCTGAGGGACTGGCAGTGCTTGTGGATCTGCTGAATGACGCCCTGGTAGTACACAATGGAGGAGTCGTAGTTCCCCAGCAAAGCATACTCCCGGCCCTTCTTGGCGTTGTCACATATCTCTGCCAGATTCATGCTGAATAAGAGCTACACAGTGAGGAGGGGACACAAGTAAGCTCACTCTGACTGAGTAGTGAAACAACGAGCTGGCTAACGTATTAAGCTGTAACTGGCTGTAGGTCAAAACCACATTTTCTTCAACAAGTCCTGTGTCCTCGTTGTAAATCCTGCTTTTCACAGGTCGGTGCAGCTCTGTGCGAGTCAGTTACCTTATAAAACAGCTACGCCCGGAAAGCATGCTGCTTACGCTAGCTAATGCCAGGGAGTCACTGCGGTTTTCAGATGTTAACTTCATCGCAGACAGTTCACCCGGCGGTTAAATCAAGCTACTATTTAAATGAGCCTCCCTGTCATCTTTCCGGCGTTAGCTTTGCTAGCTTCCTGCTAGGCCACAGACAGAAAACAAAACGATTCGTGGGGCAATAAATAACGTAAACGCGACCTAATCCTCCCAGTGTTAAACATGCATGTGGACAAAAACAACCGACCGACAGCCTAAACTATATTCTTTAACTGCTTATAAAACGTGAAAGTAATTCTCCTACCTGCATGAAAAGCACTTGTTTGCTGTGTTTTGTTTGAATCAGAGGTCCTGGGTTGAGGACAGTGTTACCATGGCCGCAGAGAGACGCCGTGTGAGGAATACAGACGGCGGGTTCACTGTGCTGCATTCACTGACTTCACAAGCAAGCTGGTAAATATGACAACGTCGCAACGTGATCATCGATCGAGGTCAACACCAAACAAAGCTGTTGGGGGAGCTGACATTACTCCAGCAGAGTCTCGTTATCAAATGTGTTTTCTTGATGTAGTAGAAAGATTTGACCTCGTCTCGGAATTGATAATGCAATTCGGTTGGTTGGCGACTCAGACTTTGGACTGCATTTGGTATTTTACAGGATTTAAGTAAACGTGTCACCAGAGCTATAGCTATACCAACGTTGGCCGCTGGTTGTCGCCAAAATCGAGTTAAACATTACAAACTAGGATGGAGCTCATCACAAGGTTTCTTGTTTATTTATTTTATTTTAACCTTTATTTAACCAGGTTAGGTCCAATTGAGGTTAAAAAATATCACATTTTCAGGTGAGTCCTGGCTTTTAAGAGCTTTTCTGGAGCTTTCAATCATATCACATGATCTTCATCAGCAAATAGAGTTTACCTGGTTGTAATAAAATTGTAGATGTTTATTAATTTCCATGTTTTTCTGAACACTCCCATCTATGTTGGCTGAATGAAGCATTAAGTTAGTGTTTTCCACAAAATGTGATAAGCAGTACATTCAAATAAACTAAAATTAAATGTCATCCTTCATTATGTGTATGTGTAAGTATTTGTAAGTACATTGTGATCTGTGCCTAGTTCATCATATCAAAGAAGCAACACACCTTAGAAACCTAAAAAATCTAAATTATACGGATAAAACCACTTTTATTTTATTGATGTGCAGCTTAACATTGTCATTTAAATCTTCATACTGTTGGAAACTGTACACATGCATCAAAAGGCCAGTCATGATTTTACCTCATAAGATCAATACCTTCCAGCGTAACAATTGTCAGACTGCTGAGCATGTATTCACTCATGCATTTCAAGTGAATTGTTTGGATTTGCATTTTGTCCCAAAAGACAGCTACATTTTGTCATTAGTGAGCTCACTCCATCGAACTGTGTAAGTGAAAGATTCGACACAAAGCTTAAGTTTGTATTTATATCTGAGAAATACACATTCAGCAACAGCACCAAAACTCACACTGCATGTAAATGTTTAAACCGAAGTATCACTTTACGACATTTCTTAAAGAAAATGATTGCACGTTTATGTTCACAGTTTCAATTTACCTTATTGGTCCCTTTACTTACACTGAAATCCATTTTGCCCCTTAATTAACTGTCTGCATGGGATATTGTAAATAGGCTGTAGTGCTACTAGACAGCTGATTGCATATAATTTGTCTTAAAGTGCAGTCAGCAATGCTTTGTTTTTTTTCACTCAAAGTGATTTTATGTGCAGTTTGAGCTACAAATGTTTGGCATACCTCCATATCCATTCATGCATTTCATTGAAATGTTGATTTGATTTTGTGCAAACCTATAGGTCCATACTGTCACTAACTGTGCCTTACAAGGGAAACAGGTAAAAATCATGGGACGTTTCTTCCTTTTCTATCTCATCATCATAAGAAGCCATTATGAATTCAGTCTCAGAGTTGGGAAGAAACGCTGCTTTCCTCAGCACCAGCATTGTTTCCTAATGGCTCCATCCATGCAGGTATCCTCAGCATTGACATGTTGCTGCCTCCTGCTCTCCCTGCTGCCACAGCTGCCTGACGCTGCTCTCGCTCAGCTGCTTCAGTCTCATGGGTTTGTGGCTCTTCAGTCTGTAAGCCAAAGTCAGAAAGATAGCGTCAACGTGTTCCTTCTCGGCAGGGTCCTTGGCCGAGGTCTCAAACAGCGGGAAGTTGTAGCTGTCGGCAAGGCACTGGGCAGCTGAGGTGGGGACCTCCCGGCGGTCCCTCAGGTCACACTTGTTGCCCACCATGATGCGGGGCACCATGGGCCCCACAGAGTGTCGGCTGCACTCCTCAATCCACTCGGGGATGCTCTCGAAGGAGGAGAGGCTGGTCACGTCGTACACGAAGATGACGGCATGGACGCTGCGGTAGTAGTGCTCCACCATGCTCTTTCTGAAACGCTCCTGACCTGCCGTGTCCCAGATCTGCAACTGGCACAGCAGGAACAGAGATTGATATTGGTATCGCTGATATTAATTAATATCATTAATTCATAATATTCAAATATTCAAATGTTGTCAACCAATCCCAAGTAAAGACTAATGTCAACAATGTGTTAGTCCATCTGTCCCTACTTTCTGCCTTCCCCACCCCGTCAGCTCCAAGTGCATTTGTTCCTTCTTAAAATATAAATCTTAAATAATTGATCACGTTCCAGATGTTTTTATTACGTTTACAACAACAATGACTGCCTATAGCACAGAGGAATGAGCTACACTCAGATAACACCTGTTAATAGGACCAATTCATTGTGTATTTGAGTCTTTTCATGGGATTTTGTGACTTCGGTACAGACTATGACCTGGCTCACAGTGTGTGACAAGAGGGTTGGTGTAGACAAATCAAATGTATGTGTCACTGAACCTGGAGATGTGAAGAGAGACAGACAGGTGGGGCCTTTTCCACACAGATCACAGTGTCACAGTAAACACAGGTGCACATTCTTTAATAAATAATGGCTGAATTCCATTTAGCTGCTCCAGTTTCAGAGCCTTAAAGACAACAGAGATGTAGACTTTTGGTGTATACCCTTCTAGGCTTCTAATGTCTACTGTAAAGAGACACTTTACAGTAGGTTTTACTGGGGCATGTTGCCTTCCAGCTGGTCATTTTAAAGAGGTAGGCCTATGTTTTGTAGCGGTGCCATCATCACCCTCCACAGCCTCTGACTGTCTGAAAACAGACTCCAGGTCAGTCTCTGTCTCCACACATGATCCGTACCTCAGGCAGATGGCTGTGTTAATCTTGCAGGACACTGAGGTGTAGCAGGTGTAGGGGTGTGTGTGTGTGTGTGTGTGTGTGTGTGTAGGGTCCTCTCACCTTGATATTCTCGCCATCGAGCTCCAGCGTCCTCTCTCTGAAATCGACCCCGATCGTTGCCTCTGGGTTTTTCAGGAAAGTGCCCCCGCAGAACCGGTAAGTCAAACACGTCTTCCCCACATTTGAATCTCCTATGACGATCAGCTTGAAAATCCGAGCCTGTGCGGACTCATAGTCGTGGTTCGCAGAGAGCTCTAGGGAGTCATTTTGACTGAAAACGGTGTGAAATTCCTCCCCAGGTCTGTTTTCTCTTGCCATAGCTCATCTTCTCGCGGTCTGGATGTGGACGGCGCGGAAACATCGCGAGAACGGGAACAAGCAGTAGATGTCGCGGTTTCATAGTTCACTGATATCACTTTTACACAATGCGATACATTTTCTATTATGTGCGGAAATTCTTTGTTTGCAAACACATATTTTTGTTTCTCTTTTTTCAATACAGAAATATTATGCCCTTTTTATGTTTTTCCTTATTTGCAAGAATTCTTTATTTTTTAATACTTATCTTTCATTTCATCAATTAATGTTTTATTTTCTTGTCTGACCATTAACATGACGTCATTATTCAGACGTGTTAATACAGAATATACAACAATGGAAATGAATGCACATCAAATATGAGGCTTTTAAAAAAATCGATGTTATTTTTCTCCTTCTATTCCATTTTTGGGGAATATTCAGGAAAGAAAGACAGCTCCATCCTCCTCTAATCAAATCTGAAAATGTTAAGCTGAATCTTGTGTTGTGTACTTCATGTGCACCAAGTTGTTCATTTAATTTATTGAAATCAAACACCACAAACGCTGCTCTGTATCAGACATGAAGGTTTATTTGACACAAAAGAACTTCACAATCCAGACCATGTGTTACCAGAGCCAATCACCCCTTCACCTTCCCACACACACACACACACACATCACTATATAATAATGTAACACTTCTATCCATCATACAGAGACACCAGTGAGAAATGCATTCCTTTACCAGTTTATTAGCTAAAACTAATGTAATAAATGTAGGTTTTAATGTTCACTGTTTGTTTTAAAAAGAGGTTATTGCAACTTAATGGTTGTTTGGAGGCTGTAGTTTGTGGTATTACATTGTATAATAAGAGGTGTTCCTAATATTTTGTGTAAAACTGATTAGAAACACTAATGTGTTTTAACAAAGCTAATAAACTGGTAACTGAATGTATGGGGATGTCCAATTAAGTTTTTTTTTTTTAGCTTAACTTCCAAACAGTTTTATTACATGCAGATAAAATGTCCTTCAACTAAAACAATTCATCAGGACCAAACAAAACTTAAAACACTTTGTGAATTTGGATTCCTGACTACAACAAACATTTTAAATTATAAAAGAAAAATCACACACACTTTGTCACACATTCAATAAAATAAATTTCATAAAATTTATAATTTGTCACCAAAACCACCTAATTTTACTACATCAAAAAAAAAAGTCAATCATGGCATACAGGCTGAAGCCTGAACCTGAGTGTGCGTACAGTGCATTGGCTTCTACATTTCATACTGTAGTATTTCACACTGGCTGCGTGTGACATCTTAACAACATAAAAAGGACAGCAAATTTTAAAGCCCTGTAAATGACCAGTTAATTTGTCATTAAACATGAGGCACTTGAGCTGCCTGATGTCCCAGAAGTCACAGTCATGATTTTACACCAATCTTAAGCAGGTGTACTCATTTAATTAGCTAAATAAAAATGTTATTAGCAAATATTTCTGTCACAAACTTGTCTTTATTTAACACAACACGAGCATTAAAGGGGCCTTCCACCCATTTAACACGTCAAAGAGAGCTACTGGACTGAGTGTGAAGACTGAGGGTGTTAACCAAGCAGGAAGCGTCTGACAAACAATAGCAATTAAGTTGCATTATGGCAGTTTTTTTTATGCCCCCTTTAGGAAATTAGAAAATGTGAGTTACACACAAAAGATATGCTGCTATATTGGCAGTATAGTCAAGAGCAAGAATGGGCGTCTTTGTATTTTGTATTTGACTGAGTGTTAGCTTGATGAACGGCAGCAGTTTTTTTTCTTTTTCTCCTTTTCCGCTCTGTCTGTAGTGTAAGTATGTTTATCTTGTACTTTAAATGTCATTTTACTTCCGACGTGAATCTTGATAGCCTTGGTAGCACCAGAGCAATTAAATTCACAGACCTTTTTCCCAGCAGACATTGTGTCTCGTCGTGTCAGGGAGCACACAGATGGAAGAAATAACATTACTGAGGGCTCAGTTCTGGCATTTAATTATCATATCAGTAACACCTGCTGTGTTTGACGAGTTAAAACGTCTCTGCTGTGATAAGCTGAGTTTTGTTCCACATTTTCCCTCTGGTCTTGTATATCTACCCCGCAAAGGCTCACCACTGCCTCATGGGAGGTGTAGGATTCAGTGTTTTTTTAAACGTGACCTTAGAGACGAGATATAGCAGACGCTGCTGCTTTGACTTTTGACCATTCTTTGTTAATCTGTCTCTCGTCTAATTTTATGGAAGTGTTATGCTCCATCTCTGGAGTAACCCTTCATTCGCCGGTCCTTGCAGCAAGTTGCAATCGCAACAATTAATGCAAATACATGCATTTTTGTCCAATCATCGCAACTTTTCTGCAGATTTGACCAATCGCAGTTTTCAGTGAATCTCACCAGTTATAGCAGTCCCCCCGCACAAAACGTTCCTACAATTTTATTCTCACTGTAACAAATGTCTTTAGATTTTTAACGAATTATACCAAAAAAGGCAACTCTTTCTGAAGTTTTCACTTTCTTCCACAATTTCATTGCAAAATAAGTGCGTAGAACCAGCATAACGTGCATCGAAATCTTTCGAAAAGCTGCCGTTAAAGGCAGGACGAAATACTTCCTTGTGTAAATAATGATTAGCAAGACGTGAAGATTTTGATGGCTTCTACTGTACACAGCTGGCATTAACACTGTACTGAATATTGATCTCTGACCTCTTCTGGCAGACAGAACCCTGTAGGAATCAATTAAATTACAAATAAGTTAAACTTTTCTTTGACACCAACACATCTTCACTACCAGTTCTCGTCTGAGAAAGAGCTAGAGCTGCCAGAGTCCGAGTCTGCGTCCGTCAACCCATCAAAGTCCCAGTCGGCACTGGAGCCGCTGTCGTCGTCCTCCTCTGTGGAGAAGCTGTGCGCGGAGCCCAGGCATGCCGGGTACACGCGTGTTGAAACACACACCGGCCCCAGGGTGGACACATACACAGCCATGACATTCTTCCACGTGTCCCTGGCTGGGTCGTATTCGTGGATGAGGACCCTGTTTTTGTTGTGTTGCAGTAAAGTCTGAGTGAGAAGGAGCAGCTTGTTGTTGTGCTGGATCACCTGGTAATTTAAAGCACGGCTGTCGATGGGAATGTCACCCAGCCTCCTCCACTCCCCCCTCGTGGGGCTGTAGGCTTTCACCACGGGGATGTCGCACACACAAATGATCTGGTCCTGAAACACGCAAGCCTTGTGGAGCTTGTCTCGTCTGAGGGACCCGCAGTGGCGCCAGCGGTTCCTCTTTGGATCATAGCAAAGCATTCTCCGTTTGTTCACCACATACAAGTGGTCGTGTAACGCCACCACCTGCATTTTACCTAAAGAATGAGGCAGAGGAGCCACAAACGTCCACTGGTTCCTCTGGACGCTGTAGCACTCGACCTCCTTCAGTCTGGCATCCGTCACGGGATTTCTTCCTCCCAGAAGGTACACATGGCCGTTGAGGTAGCCCATCCCGGAGTGGATCCTCCCCAGGGGTCTCTCCGCCAACTCCTGCCAGCTGTTGAGCACGGGGTTGTACAGCCAGAAGTGTTTAGATAGGTGCGAGGCTAGAAACAAGTTGTTTTCAGGTGTGGCACAGGCAATTAAGGACTCCATGGTGGAACGCTTGTAATCCTGACTGCTGAGGTCTTCCAAAGGAGGGGCCATGAAATAAAGGTCCTCTGAGTAAGGGTCGCAGCACATGATGTTGTCGTTGGGCAGGCCGAAGAAGAGGATCATTTCTTTCGCGCTCACACCTATTCTGTGTTTTGGTACGTCCAGAGGTGCAGCCATTCCACAGCTGTCCTCTGCAGACCTGTTGAAGAAAGACGCAAGGTGCTTCTCAATCAAAGGCCTGGCCATGAGGCCCTCCAGGTAACAGTTGTCCTTCTCCGTGAACAAGTTCCACCGCACACACTTGAGCGCCTGCAGTGCATCCTCCCTTTTCTGCGGAGCGTTGGCCTCTATCCACTGCAGAGCAGCCGAGCACACCTTCCTCTCACAGTCCACATCCAGAGTGTTCAGAGACAACAGCTCCTGCAACTGCATCAGATCCAGCTCACAAAGCTCCCCTCCACTGCACACCTGGCTGAAGTTCCTGGCTATGAAAGCTTGCGCCTTCTCCTTCAGCTCAGGGTTGTCGTACGTGTCCGCAAACTTCAGTATCCCCACACAGTTGGAGTGGTCCAGCCTCCTGGTCATGAAACTGGAGCAAGCCTCCCTGATGTACTCCAGCTGAAGCATGTTGGCCGCCGAGTACAGCCTCTGCACGTTGCTCTCCGTGATGGTCACCCTGCCGGTGTAACAGTAGTCGATGATGACGGACATGGACTCAGCGTCCACCCCGCGGATGACCACTCTCTCCTGCATGCTCTCGTTCAGCCCCCCGGTGAACATGCTCTTGAAGTAAGGGCTGGCAGCGGCGAGGACGTTGCGGCTACACAGGAAAAGTTGTTCGATGTCGCCTCTGGCTGTCTCTCCGCTGTGCTCCGGCGACTCCTCTTCGCCCTCCACCCCGATCGTAACGTCCCCGAGCAGCCGGCAGTCGTACAGCAGTTTCAGCTCTTTCATCAAACCCAGAGCGTGATTCACGTCCTCCAAAACCTCGGGACCACTGAAGCAACTCAACGCCGAAGCCATTGCTGCAACTTCTTGTGAGCGATTTGCTATTTTAACGTCGGCGAAGGTTTCAAATAGCCCGCTGTCATGCGGCTAACATACTCGCTAACGCCGAAAGGGTCTGTGCGCTGATAATGACACATCCGTTTATCAAAGAAAATCAAACATATGCGGTGAAAGACACGTTACCGCCGCCTGTGTGTCTGAAAGCCGACAGTTCTCGGTCTCCTAATTACCATAATGTCGAGTTTAAATCAGGCATGGTCCACAAATGATACCTCGAGAGTCGCTGTGACAGTAGTGTACATTTTGTTTGATGTTTCTGGTCAATGCTGTCATCTGTTTTGAGTGCGGGAGATAGTAGGAGCTCGTAAAATAACAGACGTTTGGCCGGGTTGAAACTACAGTTTCCGTCGGATATTGCCAAAATAAAGGCCCGTGTCATGTGAAGGGTGGCACGGATTTTTCTTTATTTCAGTCCATATGTAATTATCAAGATTTAGAAGGGGTTTTTATGCAAGTCTTCACGTTTGCCACTTACATTTTAAATTTTCTTAAACACAAAATTAAAAATGTGATCTTTTACTTTGAAGGCAATCCTGCCTGGCTTCCGCTCTTGCTCACTGCTCGCTCACACAACCTTGCTAACAAAAGGTTATGGCTCTTTGATTGGTTTGTGGTGTAAATGGGTCGATATATGTTTGGTTGATCGGGATTGATTCAAGTGTGACTGCCAATATTAAACTACAATTATTAAATCAAAATGTAATGTTTTATTTCCCAATGTTTCAGTTTGTAGGCATAGGATGTATTACACATGCATTGTAATTGCTACAAGTCAATAATAACAGTTATTTTTATAGCAGTTACCAAACCTGATATCACAAAGTGCTTATGTTAAGTGCTATTATTTTTGTCCCATAAATAATTACTAACCACACCTTTTGATGCCTGTTACACCAGTGACTGAAGGATGAGTAAAAACCATTTGTATTTAATACTCAAAACACAAGGACACATGCCATCATACTCATGTGTAGATCATCCATGTGATATCTGAACACAGAGTTCAGTCTATTTTCAAAATCTGTCACAGTTATTTGACATAACACAGCAACAATAATACCCCTTTATTGTCAGACTGAGTGTTAGATGCACATAAACCATCTCTCTATAAAGAGTAACGTATTACATTAGTCATACCGTATTGTTTACTGTTCTTTGCACTACCATGTACACCTGCATTACTTGTAGCCTATGGAAAGTAGTAAATATACCACAAACTTAGTTAACAGTAACAGTTGTATTGTATCCATTGCTGATTATATCTATATATCTCTATTCATACCTAAATGCCTGTACATAATATCTCTGTGTTTGTGTATCTATCTTTGTTTAGTTTATTGTTGTCTTATGTTTATATTTCTTTCTTTATACATGTTCATGGCACTTTGTGCTTCATATTTTGAGAAAGTCAAGTTGAGAAATTCCTTGTATGCGTCTACATGCTTGGCCAATAAAGTTTATTCTCATTCAGATTCTATATTCTATATAGATCCATTCTATGTGTTTTTTCATTAATAAATTAATTTAATTAAACAACGATTTTGATAACTGATTTCTGTCATGTATCAAGCACAAATGTCAAACATTCTCTCTTTTCTTTTTAGCTTCCGGTTTTGTACTAACCCTTGGACAAAATAATTAATTTAAAGATTAAAATGGCAGAAATGTCATTTTAATGGATTAAAAGGAATTCAAGATGGGTCCAAAAATGTACTTTTCATCTTTATTGCAAAGCTTTAATTTCTTATGAGACAAAAAGTTGTGTGACTATATACATGGCCCGTGCTTCTCAACTATTTGATCAATGACATTTATTTGAGATTCATTACAGTGTGCAGTATACCCTATCATATGCTTGTAATGCTACGTGCATTTTTACCCAGCTTTAAGTGTATCTACGGTTGAGGTCGTTGATCCTGCGTAGTGCGTCTTGGTTGTGGATGGTCTTGTGGACCGTGATGAGGAAGGGGAAGGCGGACGGCAGCTCAACCCGACGGCTCAGCTTCTGGTGGCCCCAGTGGAGGCAGCGCAGCCTCTCAGCCAGGTCCCGTCTGCCTGCTCGCTCCAGTCCATCTTGCAGCAGCTTGGTTTTATTGGGCTTGTCCCATGACTTCTCATACCTTTGAATAAAGATGGACATCTGAGAAACATTTGAGACTGAGGAAGGGAACAGGACAGAGTCAATCACAGATACAGTGCAATGGAGAGTTGTATCTGAGTGAGACCACAGGAAAAAACTTTTACAAGAAGTCCTGAGGACCTATTTGAATAAATGATCATTCTTGTTGGTTTGAAAGGTAACATTTGGAACAAACATTACACAGAATGATGGGACAGATAACCCCATGATGATATCTTTATGTTAATAATCTAATGTTAATTCAGGAAACACCCCTGTATGAACCAAGTATTATGCAAGTAGTCATTACACTTTTATATACAGTGTCTGCATACTGACAGTGACTAACATGTTACTGTACCAGCTTTCCAACATAGCCCTAGCCTGGACACTCTTCTCTGCAGATTTGGTATGGAGTCGCCCTATCTCAGTTCTGCTGAAGCCGAGCTCATACGCCAGAACTGTCCACTCAAAACCAAGCAGGCTGGAAATCTCCTGCAGTGTCTTCAGGTTAATAACAGCATCCTAAACAAAACATCAGTGCCAATAAAATCTCTTTCTTGATTAAAGATACATGAATGTGAAATGAAAACAGATTACACATACCTCTTGGGCTTTGTTGGGCATTATCTCAAATTCCAAAAGATTAGCAGGATTCACACTCTAAGTAACTGTCTTCATAAACCTGATTTAACAAACATACAGAGATATACAGATATTAGTGATTGCTATATCATAAACATACAGTTCAAAATTCCAAATAGCAGAGATTGTATTCACTTACCCTGAGGTACAGTGTGCCAATGAGCGTGGTTTCAGTGTTACTAGGGAGAGTCATCATCAACATAGTTGTCTGTTAAACATTAGTCACTTTAGCTCCAGGGTCTCTTGTGAGAATAACAACCCTCACTTGCTACAAGGTAAACAAATACACTGTACTAAAATTTGAGTGAAATCCTCATCATTATATTTGATCAGTAATGGTACAATTGCAGCCAGCTCTACCAGGTGAGCGATCAATTGTTCCTTTTAAAATAAACAAATTAATATGTCACTCACTTATTCACTTAAAAAGTACATTAACTACTGACAAACATTACTACAGAATAACCTCAGCTTGTCATTGTGCACAGCGGAATAACAATGCCATCTGCTGTTTATCACTGGTGTTAATCCCATTAAATGTTCTTGATACTTTAAACCACCAAGTGAACTATATTAAAGACAGACACTGAAAATACATAAATATTTTGAAAGGCTTTTATTCACTTTAAAAACTCACCTCCTCTTTAAATTCTTGTCATCCATAAAAAGCATCGGGGCTTTATGTGCAATATCATTGCAGCGGTTATGTTTATCAAAGGACATTAAAAATCTCAACTCTTACACAAAGGATAATGAAAAGAAAGTAGCCAAAAGATAATGTGTGTACACTTACTTTAACGTAATGTCATACTTTACTTAAGAAACAAAGCACATAATATATTTTAATGTGTTAATTATAATTCTGATCAAAAGTGCTGCGAGGTCCAGCCAATAAATAGAACTGACATGAATTACACTACTGTTTAACAGGCACGGGATGTAACAAAATTCAAGGTTCAACTTCATATCTGACAAAAATTAATAATTGCAAAATTAGTCATATGAAATCATTAACAGCATGTACAAAAGCATCGCCTATTCTTTACTAAGCTTCCAATGGGAGAGAAATTTTCATTCTGTTGAATGAAAGCCTTAACTACCCACAATGACAAATCAAAAAACACATATCAAAGAAGATCCAGTTCACATTTAACAACTGATTATCAGAATATTGCCAGGTTGATTCATAGTGTGTCAGTCTGTGTTTGAGCAGGTAGTAAGGTAAAGATCCAGCCTGCTGGACCCGCACTATTCTCAGTTACTACTCTGTGCTTCAGTGAAGAGCAGCGCCTTTTAGAAATGTTAACAGTCACTCTCTCTTGGGTCACAGCCCAAGACCAGGCCCTCCTGACGGCAAAACTTTAAATCAGTTAGGTCCCATGCAGTGTTACCCTGTGCACCTCTTGAACATCAATTTATTTGGGTTCAGTAGCAGCCATCTTTCCAGCTGCCATCCCTCAGGGCGCTCAGGGCAGCCAGGCTCTTTGGAGGAGTCAGCAAACTGCAGACAGAAAGAAGGAAGTTAATTAAATTCCTAAATTAATCAAATCAAATTAAAAGATGCATCATCCCCTTAAGTATCATAAACAAACTGATTGAGCTTGCCTTTCAAAATTTGACCTTTAACTACAGCACCTCCCTCAGGAGAAACAGTGTAAATGTTACACCACTTGCGCTTTAAAGTTAAGCAGCAACAAGGACGTTTCATTTTTTTGTCTATTATGGTGGCCCCTGTGGACAAAAGCAGTAATATTTCCACCACCTTGTTTCACTGATTTCAAGGGAAATCCAATCAAATCCAACCCGGTGGCAAGCTGTACTCCGTATATATCTGCCTTTACCTGCGTGTAGGTTGGGTGATTTTGCTTGCACGTGGAAGTCCACTTGTTCCTACAAAGGATGCCGGGCGAGGAAGGGAGCTGCGAGGGACAGCTAGCTGGTTGGTGCTGGTTTTTAGGGGCTGTGGTACCAAACTGCTGCTGGGTTTGAGGGGCTGAGGCAGCGCAGCACTGCTGGGGATGGAGTGCAGACTGATGGAGGTGGACAGGGAGGTGGAGGTGGGGCCCTGCTGCACTGTGGGGCTTACGTAGGCTGTGGCTTTTAGTGGGTGTCGCGGAGTGGTGGGGAAGTTCCCCACACTCTGGACTCGCTGACTGAGCTGCCCTGGGGAAGGAACTGTAACAAAGCAAGAAAACAGTCAGATGAAAGTAAGTCTAACATCAGTGACAGAATTGCATTTACTGAATTTTTATTCAAAGACTTCAAAGAGGAAAAGAGTCTTACTGGAGGACTGAAGTCGTGCGAGCCCATTGGATGAGTCAAAGCTCTGGCTGCTTCGGAGGGATGATATTGTTGGTAAGGAGGAGGGGCCGTGGGAGGATGGGTTGACGGGGGAAGCCAGGCATGGAATACTGGGAACACTGGGCATGCTGGGAGCTCGGATCAGGTTGGGCATGCTTCTCCGTAGCTTGTCTATGCAACCATATCAACAAATCAGGTACTGTAGGTGTCGACTCCATTTGGAGTTTTTCACTCACATTTCCAACATTAAAGGAATGGTTTACCATTTTAGGGAATATGAAAGTCACTGCCTCCAGGCAATAATCCTTTAAACAGTTCACATAACCTCCTGTAAAATCACAACTTGTCATTTTTTTATAATCTGGGTTTTGTACTAATTAAACAAACAAGATTTGATGTGTGAATTAGTGAGAGGTGCTGGTTAGTGGGTTTTGTTACCTTTGGACAGAGCTGTTTTCCCTCTGTTTCCGGTCTTTATGCTAAGCTAAGCTAACCGGCTGCTGGAGATATCTTCATATTTACTGTACAGACATCAGGTTGATACCACAACCTCCTCAGATAACTCTCAGCAAGAAAGCAAACAAGTATTTTCCAGAATTATTTACTTAAACTATAAGACATCCTAGCATGTGAAGGTGCTAATAGGGAGAAAAATTCAAATCAGTCAGTCATGCAATGCAGCCATTTCATGCCAGTGACAGAACACTGACACACTGACCCTAACTGAGGAAGCCTTTTTAAATCCTGTAACCAAGAGCACTCTTTAAATCCTTCTTGGCACATTCAGAAATTGTCTAGTCAGAAATTCGGGACGTCTTGAATGTAGGTAATTCTGTAAAGATCCTTTCACTGAATTCATTTCACTGAAAAATTCAGAACCCTGGTAGTCACATTGTTAGTTAGGAGGATATTTAGGGATCTTAACTGCACGTGCACAAGGAGTTCATTAAATACTCACCTGTGCTATTCCTGTATACTGTGTGTGTTTCTGTGGTCAGGCAGGAGGGTCCAGAGTACTGGGAGAGTCCACTGAGTGAAAACTGAGGGGTGGTTGAGCTCCGTCTGCAGTCTCTGATACTGGAGAAGGTGTGAGAGTGGGGCAGGCTGCCCCGCTGCATAGACCCTGTGCGGAACAGTCGAGGCTGGGGAGGAGGGAGCTGGTCATACCCCTCGTCTTCCTCATCCTCCTCCTCCAGATCCATCTCGCTGCGCCTGAGGGAGTGTAAGGAGAAGCTGGAGCTGCGACGGCTGGCTGTGGCTGAGGTAGAGGCGTAGTCCTGTCGGAGACCTACAGGGTTACAGATCAATGCTTTTATCTGTGGAACACATGAACCCGACCCTCATATCGTATTTGATACATTTCCTTCTGGAGGCGCCCCTCATCCATTATTCAGTCACTGAATCCAAACCAGACTGATACAGTAAAGTTTTTTTTTTTCTGAAATCTCCTGCATAATTTAACCACAGCACATCACGATATTAATGCGTACTGAAACTGCTCAAAGGTCAAACATTTGTCTTAGTTTCAGCCATACATGAGCAATGTAGTAATCCATTTCAGTCTCTTCACAGGGCTATGAATTACAGGTCTTAAGAAAAAAAACTAAAAGAGAAAAGTATAAATACACTGTAAGTGCAAGTATAAAAGAGCAAAGATCACAATATTATATTAAAAGGCAACCGTGCTAAGTAAAACATGCTAACAAAATTATGGGTAGGACTTGACATGAAGGTGTTAATATTACGAATGCCAATTTGTCAGCTGTACAAGAGGCCTGGCACTCAGCACTTGGATATTAGTTTTCAAAGCAACATGTGACAAATAACAGAGCTCCAACTCAGAGTGCAATGATTAAAAGGTTCAACAACATCAGATGTAATAAAAAAAAAACTATTAATGATTCCTCTCTTTCCTTTTTCTTTGGGTTGACCAGACTAAACAAGACATTTTCAAGTCAACATGGGGTTTTGGGGAATTTAAAATAAATCATAGTAATATTAAATAATGGTGAGTTGCAGCCTTATTTCAAAACGCTATAAAATGCTTCATATTCTCCCACACACAGATTTCAATGTAGTTTGGGCATCAGTGTCTTGCTCAGTAACTCTTGGACAGGAATCAAACCACCAACCGCACAATTAAGGATCTGAAAATCTAGGCTCCAAACAACTCTTATTATAACTAAACCCAGACAAACAGAATTAGAGGTCGGATGAATGCAGCTTATTTGCATGCAACCTATTATGACTCGCAATTGTAGCAGTATTTGCAGTGGTGATTTATTTACTTTCAATTTCAGGTCCTATCTCATAAAGGGTATATTTTGTTTTCTCAACCCCCTGAGCGCCTACAAGACAGACAGTCCACTCACTCTCCTCCTGAAGTCGTGCCATGACCTCCACATCTGTCATGTCCTGCAGTTTGTAGCTCATCGAGATGGATTCGTCCTCCATCTCCGACACACCCACCTCACTGTCCAGGGAAGACTGGGGGCTGATTGCTGCATGCCGGCGACCCACATCTAAAAACACACAGGAGAGCCCAATCTGTCACACTGAGATTTTTCCCTTTCTATGGCCAAAAAAAAAAAACAGGGGCAACTGTCATGATTTTAACAATATGCATGCGATACAGATACACTGTCACCACACAGAGAAGATGTTTCCATAATGTGACTTTTGAGTGCATATAATCATTGCAGATGGATGGTGACTCACGCCAGATGAATGATAGAGCAGAGAAGACATATTGTCAGCGAGGTCTTACTGTGGAGAGTCGAGTTTGATAGGAAGGTGGGCGCTCTGTCACTAAAGCTGCAGCTGGGCCTGAGTGGGAGAGTTGGCTGGAGAAAGGACTGACCTGATGATGGCAATGGGGCTTGGAAGGAGAGAGACATAGTAAAAGAGAGAGAAGATTCAATCACTGATGAC